GGAAGGGGCGGGGGGGAGAAAGGAAAGGGAAAAAGAAAGAGGTTTTCACTCCCGCTCGTGGACAGCCCCTGGCCCCACGTAGACGCGCCACACGCAATCCACTGTTTTAAAAATCATGGAAAATACAGAAGCCAGAAGAGGAAAGGAATAAGCCGGGTTCACTTGCAGCCAATGCCCCGACCCCCGTGCCGTAAAAGGCGGAGTGGACACAAACACGCCGGTGGAAGAGGAGAGCTGGGAAGCAGAAGTGTAAGAAGAAACAGAAAAAAAAAAACCAAAAAAAACAAAAACCACCCCCTTTCTTCTCGAGGATATCCGACCTCTCCCTCTTGCCCCAGCGCTCGGGCTGCTGCAGGAGTGGGGCCTCCCTGCTCTCTCCCTGCCTCCTCACCTGACCTAGCCTGACCTGGGGCAGAATTGGACTACCGGGCACACCAGGGAAAGGCGAGACTGCCGAAGCTGCCATCCAGGACACAAGCCTGCCAGCTTCACCAAATTGTGATACTTTCTGTGCGGAACGCATTCAAGACTTGTGCCGCTCGATGCGTGTTCGGACTGCCGTCAACTTAGCCTCTGGGACCCAGCAGGGATGACTGCCAGCACAGGGTCCCTTCCCCTAGTCCCATCTCACCAGATTAATTTAATACAACAATATAAGCATAACACACATGCCTCCTCAGGGTCACATATATATAGCAGTGTAACTCCTCTCTCCCGCCCCCAACAAAAAGGCAGTTTTGGTGCTCTGGCTCTGCAGCTTGTCTCTACCTCAGCGTCCCTGCCCCGTCTCTCCTCCTCCTGACGCTCCCACCTTGAGCCGGGGCTCAAGCACTCCGGTAGGAATGGGAGGGCAATCTCTCGCTGACAGCCCACAAAGCAAATTATGACTTTCTGGAGTGGGTGGCAGGATTCTCGCCTCCCATGGAGGAGCAGACGACCGTTCAACCACCAGTAGATAAACGTAAGAAAATGCTCCCACTCAGGTGTCGAACTGCACACTCTCTCGTCTCCCACCGGGTGCTTCTCTGAGAAGTCCTTGCTATGATTAGAGCTAACATCTTTCCATAAATGTATGAGTACATGCGCCCATGAACGCTCACAATCCACGGGACGGTGAAAACTGCTCCTAAAACTGAGCTAATATTTATCCCCACCAATTTCCTCACCAGTATACTTCTTTAGAGATACAGTACGTAATGCATGCTTGTAAGTACACACTTTAGCTTTTATGGTTATAGAAGTAATACTATATTCACCGCTACATATGCCCGAATAACACAGTTTTGAGAGGAAAAAACCCCCAAACGGCTAAACAGCAAAATAACAGAATGATCGTAAAGTAGGTGCAATCATAGGTACAAAAGTTGCGGTGATTGCCCTCCGGTTTGACACTTAGAGATTGGCTCATGGTCTAATTCAAAGCCAACTTGTACGTAATGCACCTTTTCCTTTTTAATTGTAGCAAATTAAATTTATTCCGTATTAAAGCAGCTGTTTGTTTTTTTTTTTCTTTCTCCCGCTCAATTCTATAAGGAGGTAAGTGAACACATTTCAGACCAAACGTTTTCCTTTCATTTGAATTTAGAGAAAGGACAACATTTAAGACAACGATTCCAGCATTCTCTTAAAAGTAAAAAATTAAAAAAAAAAAACAACCACTCTGGTTTTCGCCATTTACGAACTTGGAGAGTAATCTCACAATAGCTTGAAAGAATAGTCTGCTTATAAATTGTGCACTAGCCAAGGAAGGACTCGAGGGTTTTATTTCAATTCAGATTACACAGAAATTAGAAGATATCTTAGGAGGCTACGTGTTTTGCTTCCAGAACTTTCTGAAAAAAAAAAAAAAATACTGTTCATACCTCAGTGTCATACAAACTTATGATTTGGCAAACCCAGTAGGCGACACTGAAACGGATCAGCATGACCCAGGAGCACAAATAATAAACACACTCGAAATTCCTGCTTTGGTTTCTCTATAGTGTCAGCATTGGCAACTCTCACATTTTATCAGTTACCAGATTTTAATGTGAGGAAGGAAGCGGCTCCATTATCTAAATATACCCAATTGTTCGCGAACAGATGATGGGCAATTTGATCTGCTCTGTCTAATTCATCAGTACAGATAAGATAAGAAAGAAAAGGCAGTCAGATATCACCAAAGGGGTTAATATTTAAAAAAGATTAAATGTCAGTTATTTTAGCTAAGAAACATTTCGGTCTAGCTTTTAACATCCCCAAAAAGGATCCTTCAGTTCGAAGGAAATTTGGCGTTTGTTTTTGTTTTCCTTTTGTTTTTTGTTTTTGATAGGCCTAGTTTAAGTAGGGTTTTCTCTTTTTTCTTTATTTTTTTTCCCCTACCCGTGTGTTTATTTTTACGGCATACATGCTTGAAATTTCTTTCTTTAGAATGCCACTATGTCTTTGCAGAAACACAGAGATGCATTTCTCAGGTTGTCTTGGAAAGTGATCTGTTCCGTGTTGCTCATAATATCTACACTTATGAAAATATTCTTCGTTATCTACAACAACCTGCGAATCTAACCACTTGGTTAGAATCGCAGGATGCATTGCTAAAGTCCTCGGAAAGGTCCTACACGGTCCCGAACCTAGTTCTAGTGATACAGGTATTTGCATTTGAAAAGAAGAAATAAAAAACTTCACTACTAACTTTTTTCCTCTCGGGTGTATTCATGGGAAAGCACCTAAAAACATACCAATTATCTTTTACCCACTTCCTCACAGTTTTCCCTCTTAATTCCTCCGTCAGGTTTATAAAGTTAAAAAGAAAAATAAAATCTCACCGAACAGTTAAACAATGTAAATGGCGTACCTGATATAATCTCTTTTACAGTAGGTTTTGCCATCCCTAACAAAGCACGTACAGGTCTCGTCCAAATACTGATTACACTCTGCACACTTCAAACACGCCGCATGCCATTCCAAATCCGGAGAAACCCTCAGAATATACTGATCGTGAATTTGATTGCCGCAACCGACACATAGGGAAATCAGACGTTTTTCTGAAATGAAAATAAATACATGATTGACTAACCGTTTGCTCTCCTACAGAGATAAACACACTTTTAATGTAATTCCCTTATAAAGCTTATTGTGGGAGCGTTGTTTGGTCTCTGCCTTTTTTTGTTTGTTTGTATATGGGGGGGGGGGGATGTTTGTTGGGGTTTTTAGGTTGTTTTTCTTTAAAGAATATTACACTATTGGATGGTAATTGTAGTGTGCCATCAAAACCTTGTCTCGCCTAGAAAGGAGGCGGAACATATGTTAAAATGCAAATGTGAAGAATCTTTGGGATGAAGGTCCTCATTTCACAAACCTTGCACGGAATCAAAACTCCAAACTCCCACGTTGTTTAATTTTTATTTTATTGTTTGCTTGTTTGAATGCCCTGCCTTACAAGGAGAGCACCTATGTGTTTCATTTCGTATTTTAAGAGGCTCTGACTGGAAACGATGAAGCATGGTTGGGTGCACTTCCCACTCAGCCCTTTCCCTCAGAAGAAGGGAGTCGAGGCTTCTAGCAAGAACAAGCATCGTTACGGTTGTCACTTGCTCTCTTTTGCGAGTCTAATGCTAATACCGCTAGACCGACTAGGTGCTGGACAGTCAGACAGCCTCATCGCAGTTTATCACGAAAAGAATTTAAGCCTCCGTGGTTGGAGATCCCATCAAAATCCTGTCTGTTCCCCAAACTTTAAAAGAGAGTAGGACCCCAGGCTGTTAACATACAAGGCTACGACAGAGCAAGCATGCAGGCATGGTAACAAAGGCACCTTCTCTACCATTCAAATGAAGTTCAACACTTTAGCAGTTCGTCTGCCTGAGACGATTACAATAGACAGCACATTTATTCCAACAACGGTAAAGATTCCGCCTTACTTTTTGGTGGGTCTCCCATGTCTCCCATATCTGTAAGAGGGTGTAATGTCCACAGTGAAATGGTGTACGGTTTCGTTTTAAGACCCCAAAGTAGGTTTGAGAGCTGTCGCTAAAAATAAGAATAGTAATAATAATAATAAT